ATGCAGGTACGTGGTCATTTGTCGACGAAATGCCGCATAGATGGTGGCTGGGCTGACCATCGCCTGCAGGGGCGCAATATTGAAGAGGAGGTTGTAGTGGTTTCGAGCGTCCCTAACCCTAACCCTATCGCAATGTCATCGTCTCGTCGTGGCTCATGTGGTCTTCATCCAGCTCGTCGTCGAGGAAATCTTCGTCGTCCTGCTCGGCATTGTGAAAGCCATTCTCGTCGTCGAGGGTGTCCAGCCCGCCCCGCTTTTGCAGCCAGCTGCTCAGCATGTGCTCCAGAGGCTTGCACAGCAGCAAATACATGAATATCAGCGTGCTGATTTCCTGGTCCATGTATCGAAAGGTGTGCTGTTCGTTCAGGGACAGCCAGTAGGTCTTGCTCACGCGGGTCAATATGGAGAGCTGCTTCTCGGCAAAAAACGCGGCTCGTTGCCGGCCCACGCCGTTTTTGTAGGACAGCCCTTGATACACAGAGGCTCGTGGCGGCAGACCTAGTCAAAGGCAAGCAGGCATGAGTGGCAGGAACAAAGAAAAAAAAAAAAAAGAAAAAAAAAAAGAGACGGCCTGATTCCAATCGTACCTCCGGCAATGTGCGTGGAGGTGAGGGCTAGCTCGTTGAACCTGCACACATATGAAAGCCATACCCGCACCCTGTCCTCTCGAAAGGTCAGCTCGCCACTGGACCCATGCTCGGTTTGGATAAACTCTTGCCGCAGACTCGGGGTCTGGCCAATGTGATCAAACAGCGCTGTCTCGGCTGGACTGCCATGGCCCACCCACCAGTTCTTGACCCTGTTGGTCCGATCCTCCTTCAATCGCAGCCGCTCATATTTGTTATCGTACTTTGTCCGCAGGCCTGAGACCAACAAGAGGTGCTTGTCCAATATTTCCGTCATGTCTTTGCGCATCTGCTCCAATGCGGCCCCGAGCTCCTCCACATTGAGCTCAATGCCTCGACAGACAATGGTGCGCAGCGTCTCGTCGCCATCGGTTCGGACCTCGACGTCGACTCCAGCCTGCCCCTCGGCCATGCTCGCTGTTCGTGCCATGCTCTTGCGCTGGCTCAAGAAATTCACCAATCGGCCGGGCTGCATATACGGCCTAAACTCGTTGGACACTGACCATGACTCATTCTTGCCACGGCGAAGCAGGAACAATTTGAAAACGTACAGCAGTCCAGCGGGCGTCGTGGTCCACTGCCTGATGTCTTGCAGGATGCCGCTTCCTTTGGACACGGCCGTGCACAGTAAGAAGACGTTGACAAAGTGCACCTTGTCGTCGTCAAAGAGGCTCAGCTTCACCTCCACCAGGGCCAGCCACAGGGACGTGAGGGGCTCGACCAGCTCTTTCTTGGTCATTTCAGCGTCCAGGCCCGCCCTCAGAGCCACGGTGGCATCAATTACCGCAGGGCCACGGCTGGCAAGCACCTGGCCCAGAAAGCTCGACGGGTCGGGGGCTGGCGTGGCTTTCAGCAGCAGCAAAAATTGAACCAGGCGTGTTCCAAGACTCAGGTACCTGCTGACGGTTTGCGGCTACACTTGCCGCATGGGGCGATGCTGATACTGCCCTTCATTGCCGTCAAACAGACGCGTCACCGCAGCGGCGGCCAAGCCCTGATCCGATAGCTACTCATAGGCCGTCCGGAATAACGATACATGCTCGAATCGAGGAGCGTTGACGGGTGCAGTGGCCCAGGTTGACCATGCGCTCTGGCTTCAGCTCGTTGATGACCAGCGTTATGCCCGCACTGTCGTAGAACGGATGCATCTGGTGAACGCCGTGCGGGCATCGCTCATCTTCAGCCTCTGAGGCCATGACCCGGGTGCTTGAGATGAGCTGCTTGAACCGCTGCTGCTCATCCAGCTCCTGCTCGTTCTCGCTGACAACGGCTGCCGAAGCGTCGTGGCTCTCTTCGCCAATGACCTCGACACAGCGGGCCCCAGCACCACGCAGCGCTTTTGCAGCTTGACAAGTCGTGGCGGCTGATTGATACCGGGGTCACCAACATGCTCGGTGTGCAAGTGGCAGTGCAGGCTATTTTTTGACGTGTAGCATGCTCGGCACTGGGGGCCACCCACACCGTTCAGAATGGGGATGCCTTCCACAGGTATACTAGACTCAGACCTTGCCCCAGTGTCCATCGAGGGCCCCTCGGGCTGCAGTGGACGTAGGAGTGCTGTAGCGTTACAATGTCCTCTTGGGTGCAACGTACATGATGTTTATTGAGCAAATGACGGGGAACATTGCCGCTGAGGACGCATTGACGGCACGTGTACATTAAAAACGCTGAAGAAGGGGCACGAATCCCCTGATGTCGGACACGAGCATCTATGCCCAGTAACGCCCGTTCTACTGGTCAATGTTGACCACACGCTTGGATGCACGCATACGCCTGTGTTTATGAAAAAAGAGTAGCGTGCCCCGTGGGAGGGATAGTCGATTCTGCGTGCGCTCTGTGGACATCGTCCATATGGCAAATGTGAGATACCTAGCACATGGTGCCCTGTTCCGAGGAACATTGTGATTAATGTGTGTGACATGGGTGAGCCGGTTCGGTAATTCAAGCACCTGAAAGCTGACTCCAACTCTCTCTTTCTCGAGGTCGTTACTTCAAATATTCGACGTTTTACATGTTCACATGTCAATACACGCACCATAAACAGCTTGGTCACCCAGTATTAAATCATTGCCACCGATAGGATCAGGGTAGTGTGCGTGTGTGCGTGTGTGTGTGTGTGTGTGTGTGTGTGTGTGTGTGTGTGTGTGTGTGTGTGTGTGTGTGTGTGGTTGGGGGGACAGGAAGAGTGAAATAAAATGGCATCGTGGTGTCAGAACTTGAGATTGATTGGTGCTTGCATTAGGCGCACTGCTTGGCACAATTTGTGAGGCTGACTCTTAGGTGTGAAGATGTGTCCTCATTCGGGCAGTCAGTTTTTGATACAGCGCGCATTCACGGCTTTGACAAAACATGGGGACAGGAGTTGGGTCAAGAACAACAGCTGCCTCACTTATGAGGACTCCCGGTTGCCTTGCCAGACACAGAAACCTTGAACTCCGACAAAAGCTCGCACTCCATACACAGCGTGGCAGCGTCATCCAGGCGGAGCTCCTCCAGCGCAGCCACCAACTCCTTCCGATTATCGTCATCTTCTAAAAAGTCCTGCATGACACGTGCCAAGGCAAAGCCATCGTGCTCCTTGTCCATGGCTTCATTTGGGTATGCATCATCGTGACGATACGGCTTCAGCGCCTTCGCTTTCACGGCATAATTGGAGACATACAAAGCCCTATTGGCTCCGTTGGCGTCATCGGCTGGGAGGAACCGGCCGAGATCAAAGTCAATGAGAAAGGCCGCAGGATGCCCGTCCCAGTCGCTGCAAAAAAGAATGTTGCGAGGGAGAATGTCGCCGTGCACAAAGTCAACGCTGTGTATGGCCTCCAATTGGCGGATGACTTGGACCAATTGCTCGAGCTTGGTGGGGTGTGCCAGCTCCACGTAAGGGTAGCTGAGCACATGCACGGCAGTCGCAAGCTCCGTCACCTTCCATTTCTGATAGAAGGTGCCCGTCGCATCCAGTCGCCGGAGTTTTTCCAGAAGTTTGTCGTCGGGCGGGCAGCGGCAATTTGCGGGAGCCACGCAATTGCTCAAAGCGCTGCAGAGGTCTGTGCGACCCCAGTAGTCAAAGTGCTTATACACCTTGCGTTGCTTCTTGTCGCTGTAGACCTGCACGTTGGGACCAAACGATTCAATCAACTTCCAGTTGTGTAGGTCCTCGAAAGGGCAAGGAAAGGGTTGTTGGGGCAATGATGGCCGCGTTTTTCTTTCTGTCCCATTTGCCAGCAAGCCTGCCAACTCCTGATGCACAAAATCCTTGCACGCTTGCAGGATGCTTTGGACCTGCTTCGAATCATTCGATAAGCTTGCACAACCGAGGCGCAAAAAGAACACTCCAGAGACTGCATCTTGGTTGAGACTGTGGCCTTCAAGTGCAGGCAGCAGCTGCGACAAGTAGGGCTTGACCAAGTCCCAGCGCCTTTCAGAAACCATCAAGGCCAGGTATGCGCTCACATAATCTCCTACCACGTTGATGTTGACAATGGGCCACTCTGTGCGCATCTGGCCCGGCAGCCCCTGAGACTTCTTGCCGCTCTCATAACGTGTTGCGATGGCTCTCAGTCGCAAGAGTTCATTGGCAACCTGTCCCCCGTATTCGTTGAAGTTCTGCGGGGCCTTTTTGCACTCGCCCATGACGACAACGTGGTGGCTATCATCAAATCCCGCCCAATCAACATGGGTGTTCTGGTTGCCGATGGAATATTGATGGACAACGTCCAGGCCAAAGTAGCGACGCAGCACGATACTCAGTCGAGAAGAGATGTCGCTTTCCTGCTGGAGCACAGACAATCGGGAATGTCGCTCAACCTTGACCGCCCACTCGAGGTTCTCAATCAGCTCGTTGTCGATCGTCAACTCGGAATCCGCGCAAAGCTCATCAATGTGCCGGACAATTTTTGCTGCGTAGTAGTGGTGGCTGCAGGGAAGTTCTGCGACGATGCAGTTGAGTAGTTGATTTGCAGCGGTCAAAGATGGGGTTTGCGAGGGCGCTATCGACGGCATCTTGCCAATGACCGATTTTTTTGTTTGCCACGAAAAGCCTGCACACGTGCAATCAACAACGGTCATGTAGTGCTGTTGCTCGCCAACTGTGTTCAGGTGCGCACAGCAATGACCAAGAGCAGGCCAGATCTGGGGTGGGTGACAACCAACGACAGACACACCTTTCAAGGGGAACCGGGCCTTCATCGCTTCTGATGAGGTTTCGTTGTTGATAAGATCGACGACATTTTCATCAAAAACATCATCAGCAAGGTCCATCATCTTCTTTCGCAGGGTCTTTATGTGGTCCGAAGTGAGGCCGCAAAAGACGCTTTGTAAAATTTTGATCTAACGGCCGCAAATCAAGTGAGGCTGGCGTGTGCAAAGGTGGTAGGTAGGCCTTGATGTTGTAATCACCCCAGACGGAGCACGACAAACCTTTTCAGTGCACACTCTACGCTTCTCCTCGCGACGCGCTTTTTCGGCCTCGGCTCGACGCACTTTTTCGGCCTCGGCATGAAGCTCGGCGATACGCGCTTCGGCCTCGGCTTCGGCCTTGCGCGCTTCGGCCTCGGCCTTGCGCGCTTCGGCCTCGGCTAGACGCACTTGGGCGTTCAGCCGCGCAAGCTCATTTTGGGAAGCTTGTTGTGGCTGTTCGCTTTCAGACCGTTCAGGGCTTTGTTCTTCAAGCCGCAACTGCTGCAGACCATCATCCAGCGACGGTCCATCATCATCCATGGTGCGCGATGCCAAAGGGCGACGCTCACCAAGAAGACAAAAAAAAATAAAAGAAAAGAAAAAAAAAAAACTCGAAGCGTTGCAAGGATGAAGACACAGAAAGAGAGAGAAGAAAAATGCAAGTCGACAAACCCTTCCCGCCATTTCTTTTTGCTTTATGCGCTATAAATAGATTCTTGTTCTTCGTTTTTTTTTTTTTTTTTGGTTTTTTTTTTTGGATAACAACTGCTGTGAGTAGTTTTGATAAACTTTCGTAGTGCTGCCTGTTGGCTGAGTGTGGGTGAACTTCACCGTATTGATTTGCTGCACGAAAGGTAAGACTTAGTCTTGTGCGCGAGACACGTCTTAAAGGACAGCAGTTGAGAACAGTCTGGCAAGCGCGAATGCCCGCGGTGTGCGGGGAAAAAATTTTCATGTGCTTTCGAAGCGCCGCAAAGCTCGGGCCTGTACGTGTACGTGTGATGCTCCTTTGCCAGCGATGACAGCTAGAAGGCAGTCCAAGCTCTTCGGTAACCGCTTTAACGCTGCCGACCATATCAGACATACCAAACCCAGATCAACCATTTCTTACAGCGAGAGAGCCAGCAGCTATAGCAGGTAAGCCATCATGACTGGACTGGCTCGCTTGTTCATGCAATGTGTAGCGCGCGACTCTAAAACCGTCGATAGGATGTGGCTTTGAATTGGTAAAATTAATGATGAAAGACGCAGCTCACTCCGCATGACAGAGAAAGCCCAGTGGCTATTGAAACACACTTGCATAATTGTTTTGGTCTGTTACACGCATCATGGTGGTCTCGGTCCTCACTATAATACCATCCAACCATGAAAAAAGTCTGTCGCCTCTGCTATCATATCACAGCCCTCGCGGCTGCCCCGATCAAAATCTCAACGCTTTCAATCACAAACTCCACAAGGTGCCAATGGCCTGCCGGCAGATGCTTGTCTTCCATGTACAGCCATGCGACAAATCTTTCGCGAAAATGTCGCGTCTGCAGCGTCCCCGGCCGAAGATCGTATCCCATTCGCTTGGCCAGTTGGCGCAGCCGCGGATGACAGTCGGCAAGGAGGACGATGGAGCTCAAGACTCGTCCAAGGCCTTTATCGATTGCACAGCCCGGCAGATGCTTCAAGGGGTAGCCGCCGATCCTAGATGGCATGCCACATCTGGCGCAACATTCTCGTGTGGCAGATTCAAAATCAATGTTGCACTCGTCGGTTCTGTGCCCCGCGAGATGGCACCGGGTGCATGTGTCGTCTGATTCGGGACAGATATGTTGAGCTTGCCAGACGGCTTGAGACTGGCGAATGGTACATGGCATGCAATAGCCGTGCATCAACCTCAGCGCATCCAGAAACTTGTCAGCCGCTGCCTTGTGGATCAGGCGCGAGCGCGTCGTCCTGGCTCGCTTGTTTGATCTCAGGCGTGGCATCGACGCCGCCTCACTTCTTCGCGATGATAAAGCAGCCGGGGGCAATGTAGCAGATGTCACTCGTTTGGCAGAAGGCCATGCAGGATTTGCGCCAGATAGTCCAGACCCTTGGTTGCCCAACAAAGAGCAAGGGTGCTGCGTGGCCTCGGCCTCTGCGGCGGTGTCTGCATCAAGAGGGTCGTCACAATCGGAAGAGCTCTCCATGGGTGCGTCTACGGCAGCTGTGCGTTCCGCCAGAGCGCGGGCACGCGTATGACGCAGCGCTGCCGAGGGCACGTTTGCCCTGGGCCGTGGTGGCAAGGCATCGAGAGCAGAAGGCACGGGCAAACGCATCGGCAAGGCCGAAGGTACCGGTAGAGATGGCAGCGGTGCTCCAAGACTAGGTAATAAAGCCGTGTGAATCTGCGTAGCCTCGTTTGAAGCTGCAGACTCTGTTGCGGGCTGAGACACACTTTCACCCTCTGACGTGGTTTTGACCCGCAGACCTGGCACGGAAGAACATGGTGCATCATCTTCTTGCAGTTCTGTTAGGGAATCAAACTCAAGCTCAAAGTCAGATGTCGTCGGTGTTGCTGGCAGAGACATGATGGGTTCTGCGGCCTCTTTGTCAAGCCGCGCTGCACGTGGCCTTGGCAAAGCATCAGCCATGGCCGAGCCTGCTTCAGAGGCTGTCGTCACGCCGGATGGTGGAGCTTGACGATGGTCACTGCTCTGCACTGGCTGTGCCCGAGCTTCTTCCTGTCGCTGTGCCTGAAGCTCGAAATCTGACACCGTGGGTGAATCTGACACAGGCATAGGCTCTGCGGTGGCTGCATCAAGTCCAGCACTTGACCGTGGCGATACATCAGCCATCACTGCAGTCTCGCCTGATGGATTGACATGTTCACGATGTGTGACGATGCTTGGCTGCACTTCCTGTGCCATTTGCGTGCACACGTCACAGAGAGCCTGGCCGGTGGCAAGGCATGTAGCAGCGCGGGGATCCAACATTTTGCCAAGCGTCCACCTTCGACACACACTGCCCTCGACAAAGGCTTCCATGCCTGGTGCTGGGCCGCACCTGACTGGCAGCCACAGCTCGGCAGCTCCGCCCTTTCCATCACGGCCAGCGCGACCAAATGCCTACAGCCGATTACATGCACACCATTAGCTCAACCAACCATTGATTTTTTTTTTTTTTTTAATTGAGACAGTTCCGCGGACGTCTGAGCAACAACTCACCTGTACAAGGGTATACACGTCATGGCCACTGCCATACCATAGCACGTGGCGGACGGTAAGCAGGTCCACATCCATGCTCAAACAGCTGGTGGCGACAATGACGTCGCATTCACTCTGTTGCCACCGCGCCAGATGGTCCTTCTGCGCCATCTCTTCCAAGTCTGCATAGTAGGGCAAGGCTGCATAGCCGCGTGCGTGCAGCTGGTCACACAGCAGCTTCACCTCGGCCACCGAGTCACAAAAGACCATCATGTGCACACGCTCCTCATTCGCCTGACGCGTCATCCGCTGTCTGTCTACAAGACCTTGCGCGTGCGACAAGAAGGCCCGCTGGTCGCCATGATGCACACGCAGCTCCACATTGTGACACATCGTTTCCAGGCGGTACAGTTTGCCCCCTGCTTGCTGACCCAGCTGTCGAAAAAGCCGCTCTTGGTCGCACATGCATAAAGTATCAGTCAAGGCCACGCGCTTGATGTTGGTCCATCCGCCAGAGGCCACGCAGGCCCCGACTTGAGCCATCATGTTCCGGTGGCTGGCATCAGAGATGAGCGTGTGCGCCTCGTCCAGAACAACGGTTCTAATGCCCTGGAAGCAAGCACGTGCGTGCAGGGCGTCAGAGCCCGCGCGAACAAACTTGTCAGTCGTGATGATAAGCACGCCCAGGCCAGCTGCTACCGGCGTTGAGGGGCCCAGCCACCTTTGCGCACTGTGGCCAGCCGCCTGCAGACGCCGCAGCAAATTGTCTGCCGAGGTCGCAAAAGGCACAATCCACAGCACCGTGCCGGCATGCGGGTGACAACCCAGTTCGGGCATGGTACAAAGCTTCTTGTCCATGTCTAACGGCGCGACAACAATCAGCCAGCCATCCTCGGCCCGATGCTGGTCAATGGCCGCTGCCAGGTCCAATTGTTCTTGGCTTTTAAAGCCGTGGCCCCACGAGATGCGTGCCTGCTGAGCCAGTTGGGTCATGTAGCCGATATCATGCTCAGCTTGCGTATCCATGATGATGCGCCCGTCTGCTTCAAGCTTTGATGACACGCTCCAGCTCATGGGGTGGCGACCTTCCAAAGCTTCCCTGGCGGCTGTGAGCTCGGCCACGCTGCGCTTGCGGTCAAGACCCAAGAAGGCATGCCAGCTTTGTGAGGCCAGCTGATGCATCAGACGTGATGACATTTTGGCTTGCAATTGGTTGCTTGTTGTGGTAGCACAGAAGTCTTTGGCCATGTTGCCCAAGGGCTGTGCCTGGGTGCGCATCAGGCTACCTAAAGTGCTCACGGGGTCGGCAAAGAGCCGGTTTGTCACAAATGTTGTCATCCAGAAGGTCGCGGCGTGTCGCCACTTGGCCACCCCCAGCGTTGGCTGATGCAGGTAGGCGGTCATTTGTCGACGAAAGGCAGCGTAGATGGAGGCTGGGCTGAGCATGGTCTGCAGAGGCGCAATGTTGAAGAGCAGGTGGCTGTTGTTATAGTGGCGCTGAGCGTCTTGTACCTCGCGTCGCAAGGTCATGAGATCGTCGTGGCTCATGTGGTCTTCATCCTGCTCGTCCTCCAATGGATCCTCCTCTTCCTGATCATCGTCGTAGGTTCCACGCCCACCATCGCGAGGGATTTGAAGAGCGCCCCGCTTCTCCAGCCAGCTGGTTAGCATCTGCTCCAGAGGCTTGCACAACAGCAAATACATGAAAATCAGCTTGCTGACTTCCTCGTCCATGTACCGATAGGCGTGCTGCTCATCTAGAGAGAGCCCGTGGGTTTTACCCAGACGAGTCAATATGGACAGCTGCCTTTCAGCAAAAAACACGGCCCGTTGCCGGCCCACGCCATTTTTGTAGGATAGCCCTTGATATACGGTTGCTTGAGGTGGCAGACCTAACAAAACGCCAAAGCCAATGCAAATAGGTAAGAATAATACAATTAGCATGTCAAACTTCTCAAACAAAGTCTTTGCTGAACCGCAATCATACCTCCAGCCACGTGCGTGTAGGTGAGCGCCAGCTGGTTAAACCTGCCCACAAATAGAAGCCATTCCCGCACGCGGTCTTCTCGAAAGGTCGGCTCTTCATTGGCTCCTTCTGGCCCGAGCTCTGTACAGATAAACTCTTGCCGCAAGCTCGGAGTCTGGCCAATGTGATCAAGTAGCGCCCGCTCAGCTGGGCTGCCATGGCCCACCCACCAATTCTTCACCCTGTTGGTCCGATCCTCCTTCGAGCGTAGCCGAGCATACTCGCCAATGTGTTGCTCTCGCAGACCTGATTCCAGCAAGATGTGCGTGTCCAGGACCTCCTTCATATCGTTGCGCATCTGTGCCAGGGCGGTCCCAATCTCTGTCACGTTGAGTTCAACACCTTGACAAACGATAGTGTGCAGCGCCTCGTCCGTCATGTCCCCGTCCGTTTGCACCTCAATATCCACTCCAACCTGCCCCTCGACCGTGCTGACAGAGCGAGCCGCCGCCATGCGCTGGCTCAAAAAATGCACCAGCCGTCCGGGCTGTAGGAAAGCTCTGAGTTTACCCGCAGTGGCCCATCGCTGTGCCTTGCCAAACCGGAGCAAAAACAGCTTGAAAATATAAATCAGGCCGGCCAGCGTTGTGGACCAGCGCCGGATGTCCTGCAAGACACCGCTTCCCGTGGAAACGGCCGTGCACAATAAAAACACGTTGACAAAGTGCACCTTGTCGTTATCAAAGAGATGTAGCTCTGCATTCACCAGCGCCAGCCACAGTGCCGCCAAGGGCTCGACAAGATCTGCCCCGCTCAGTCCCGCATCCAGCGCCTCTTGCACGGCCAAGGCAGCTGTAGTTATGGCCTCCCCACGGCTGGCAAGCACCTGGCTCAAAAAGCTGGATGGCTCGGGGGCTGGCATCGCTTCCAGCAGCAGTAAAAAATGCACCAGGCGCGCTGCGATGTTCAGGTTTCTGCCCATCGTGCCAGGGGATACTTGGGGTAAAGATTGCGGCTGAACCTGAAAGTCTTCATCTTTGAACAAGGACGCCACGGAAGCAGCCGCCAGACCGTGCTGGGACAATTGTTCGTGGGCCTCCCAGAAGAGCTCTTGCATGCCCGACACAAGTGGTGCGGGTGGGGTGTCGTGGCCCAGCTTGAGAATTTGCTCTGGGGTCAGCTCACTCAGGATCAGCGTCATGCCCACGCTATCGTAGAACGGGTGCATCTGGTGAACGCCGTGCGGGCAGCGCTTCTCCTCGGCCTCTGAGGCCATGGCCCGGGTGCTTGAGATGAGCTGTTTGAACCGCTGCTGCTCCTCCAGCTCCTCCTCGTTTTCGCTGACGTCGGCTGCCGAGGCATCGTGGCTTTCTTCGACAATGACCTCGATACAGCGGGCTCCAGCGCCGCGCAGCGGCTTTTGCAGCTTGACACGTCGAGGCGGCTGCTTGGCCTCTGGTTCGTCGGGATGCTCGGCTACGATGTGATTCCAAAGGCTTCCTTTTGTCGTAAAGCATGCCTGACACAGGGGGCAACCCACACCGTCCAGAATGGGGATGCCTTCAACAGGCAAACGAGGCTCAGATTCTGCCCCAAGGTCGATCGGTGGCTCCTCGGGCTGCAGCGGGCGCAGGAGTGCCATGGCTGCATCAATATCTTCTTGGCTGCACCGCACATGGTGCTTTTTGAATAGATGATGCGTCACCCTGCCTCTCAGGACATGGCCGCACTGCGTGCACACTGGAGACTCAAAGACGGGGGATACAAGGCACCCAATCTCGTCCATGAAAATTCGCGCCGCGGCAATGCCGTGCTGTTGATCAAGCTTGACCACACGTTTTTTCGTGCGCGTCCGAGCAGGTTTTTGACGATGAGGAGGGCAGGCGGCAGGCGCAGCCGGTACTGAAGTCGGCATGTTCTCATGGTTGTGCCGGAGATGAGACTTGAGGGTGTTGGCGCGTTGATGAAAGTAGCCACAACCTTCCACCGGGCAATGAAAGGTTCCGTCCTCATTTCGATGCTTGACAATCAATTCCCCATTCAGCTTGATTCGCGTGCTTTTCTGGTGAACCTATGTCCGAGGACAGTGAGCCGTCGCGATGTGTTTTTCGCAGAGAAGAAAGTGAACAGGAAGAGCGACGGTCCAACGCACCCGTGAAACATGTTGTTCTCTGGCCAACCGACTGTGAAAGGTCAAATCACAATGGCAGCACGGGACTTCACGGCTCTGTGACATGGTGGTGAGTGGTGGGATTCGATCGAATCAGCAGCACCAAGAAACTGTTGAACGTTACAGAACACAACCGTGGTCTGACATTAATAATTTTCAAAGAAAAAAAAAAAATCAATGAGGCCAACAGCACCATGTATTCCCATCTGGTCACCCACGATAGTACTAGCATGGCCCAACATGGCTTAACTGCGGCGATCGGACGAGAGCCGGTGTATTCCATGTGGTATGACCGTTGGCGATATACGTTAGCCATAAACTCAAATATGAAGCACATTTTACAATCCACGGGCACCTTGAAGCTTCACAGCGATGACAACAAGAAGTTTGATGCCTCGAGAAATCTGATTATCGATTGGAAAAAACTCACAGCGCAGCATTCACACCATCAAGGGAACAAAACAAGTCGCCCGAGAATTGCGCAGAGATCGATGCTCACGGCTACGACGTCGACCCAGCATCAACTCTAGTGCCTGAGTTGACATTGTATTTCTGGAAGGCTGCACAAAACACCGTGGTCAAAGAGGGCCATTGTTTGCCGCCACCCAACGCTGACTAGGACAGCCGTTCGGCGCGCGGAGATATTGTGGCGTATCCGTCTCAAGTCATCGGCGACTGCGCGCGGGAGACAGGCCGCCGCGGCAGATGAGAGAGCGCGCGCCAACAAGTAGCCGGGATTGCAATACCCACCCGCAGCAACTGATGAGCCGTATTCTGTCATACAGCGACTGCGCTGAAGCAGCTCGTACAGGACCTATCGACACAGGTAGAATACGTGAGAAGTTACACAGCGGTGCGCTCTGTACCAAACTGCAGAGCATTCTTACGGCAGATATTGTTGCATCCACCTCCTGCACCGAGCGCAAGAGAGTATTGATGGGCGTAAACGCACGCTGCGTTGGGTTAGGGTTAGGGTTAGGGGACGTTTTTGAGCGAATTGTGGCTGACAGTGAGGGCCGAGTCAGATGATGTGAGAACCAGGATGCCAGACCTCGTCTTCCCGATCGACATCCGCCTGATGGGCCAGAAGAACGCGGACAATATCCCAGCTTCGGGCTCGACACGCGAAAAGAAGCGCTGTGCGACCCAACTATCGCACCAACACATCAAAACCCGTCGTGATGGGCAGCTGCAAGACCTAACAGCAGGTCACCAGGGTTTGGGATTACGAGAAGAGATGTCACCTACCTGATCTGGAGCATCAACTTCTGCGCCAGCTTCAAGGAGGCATGCCACAACAGCCAGATGATCGTGGAAGCAAGCGTGGTGCAAGGCACAAAAACCGTCCTGTAGACCTCCATGCACCGCATGAGGCTCAAACCTGAGCAGCCTACCCCCAAGCAAATAGGCGTCTTCTGCTGCCCACTGCTCCACATTGACAAGCTGCCGATTGCATCGGGTTTGCATGGCTTCGGCACTCCTCTGACCTTGTCGCGCTCGTTTACAGCTGCGCCTCGAGCAAGGAGCAAGCCAACGAGTGCCACATGCCCGTGTGCACTGGCAGTGTGCAAAGGTGAACCCCAATCCTAAATTCAGGAGCCCTTAGTTCCAATCAGAGGAACAGCCAAGAGGCAACGCCAAACATGCACGCTAAATACCCTTGCAAAGGGGGAACGCACGTCTAAAACATGAAGGTCCGCTCCGCAATCCAGCAAGAGTTGAGCCGTTTCATATTGTCCAGTGCTGCAAGCCACGTGAAGTGGTGTTCGCTCACGCTGTAGTTGCGTCGTTCATTCCGCAGCAGGGTGAGCCAGCCCTCAATGACAAGACTGCTTGAGTGCCTGGGTCGTTGACCACCTCTTTGGCTTACCTCGGTTTGAGCACTAAAATCGGCACCAAGGTCGAGAAGCCGTTGGATGATGAAAGCTGCCCCACTGATCGCGCAGGCTTTGTGCAATAGGGTCCAGCCCCTCTGCCACGAGCACAACCATCCAACGAATGGGAAAGGACGCACAAACACGATCCCCACCCCGCCATCACACACAGCACAAACCGAAAAGAGACGGAGCTGCGCACATGCTCATCACGGCAAACGCACCGAATCCGACCAATGCTGCACAGCAGCCTCGCAAATTTCCCTCTCACTCTCCTCCATTACCACGAGACACGTCTCAAACTGCCGTGAGCCCAGGAGCGCCACCATGCGCTGTGCCAGCTCGTCCACCTCCATCGTCCCCACCTCCATCGCCGCGCCTCATTCTCAAATGTCTGACAAAATTATTCACATGTCAGATAATAAATGATGACATTGTTAAAACGTCTCCATCGTCACACTTTTCCTGCGAAATTTTTGAGATTTTTTTTTTTTTTTTTTTTCTTTTTCAAGTGGAGAGAACAGACGCCCCAATCGCACCAGCGTCGATGGCGGACGCGGTGGTGGAGCAACTGCAGGCCGAGCTGGACTTGATTAACCACCAGCGAGAAGGCTTGCTGGATGAGGATGGTGCCAGTGCTCTCTACGGCCGTGTACAAGATGGGTTTGCGGAGATTGAAGATGCCTATGATCTTCTTGAGGAGGACGATCAGCTAGAGGATGATGAGCGCCAGCGCCTCTTTGACGAGCTCGATCGGATCGGCAATGAATTGGATGATATTGCCGTGACCTTTGAGCAAAACTTTCCGCATCTTGCGGCACCTGAAGAGGAGGACGTTGCAACGGCCGCCAGTGCCGGCGCAACTCCGCCACCCGGCGCTACCCCATCCCCGCTGGCGCCTGCGGCCTCGACTCCAGCACCGGCACCCGCACCAGCACCGACTCGCTTGCGTGTCGTCGCTGACTACGCGGGTGAGGGTCCGCCAGAGCTTCCAGTTATCGCGGGTCAGCTTTTAGAGCTACTGGAGGTGGATCAAGGAAATGGATGGACCTATGTCACCACTCAGGAGGGTCGCGCAGGCTATGCACCTACATCTTACCTTGAATTTTTGGATGGTATGCCTGGAGATCGGCAGTCCATTATGCCGGCGCCCAAAGCAGCGCGCATGTCCATGGTTGGGCGTTCTGCACCACAATTAGACACAACGGTAGCCGCGCAACCACATCGCTCCCCCTCACCGTCCACAGGGTCCGAAGGCTCCATCGCCACGGGTCCGCCGCCGCCCGTGGCCAAGTCGGGGGAGACAGCCGTGCGCATGGCACAAGAGCCTCCACCATCAGCTGCCCCCTTGAACCCCAGAGCGCCCGCGCGGGCTTCTGCGCCACCTGCTGACGCCGCTGCGCGTTTGCTAACACCCGGCACAGCCAATACACCCAATACGGTCTTCTTTCCCGCCAGCGAGACATCGCGTCCCAGCACACGTACGGCCATGGCTCGCTTGGCCGCAGCGGCGGCCGATAACGATGGTGCCAGCGAGGGCCTGAGTGAGCGGGACCGGGCGTCCTTGGTTGCCCGGAGCCAGCGCAAGTCACGTCTCTCCGTTGCTGTATCCTCGGTGGCTCAAGACATGGATGCCGGGATGCAGCATGTACCAGAAGCCTTGGCCAGGGCTGGTTTTCGACCATCTCTTAGTGCAGAAGCGCGAACGCACACGGATCCACTGGCGCTCCTTGGCTTGCAAACTGATGATCTGGGCTTTGACTATACCCATTTTGCATGGGACGATCAGGGCCAGCTTATCCCAGCTCCGGTAGGTACCATCTGCCACTGCCTGTGCGCAGCGAAAGGCTCACGCACAATCATACATTGTAGGTTGCCTTGAGCAAGACGTTGAAAATTCAAGACGCAAAACACATCCCTGTCCCTCCGCTGGCGCGAGGCGTCACTATTGAGGAGCGAGTGGTTTTGCTGGTGGGTTGATCGTCATGACGTCGTCGGCCAGATATCGTGGGCGTCCTCATGTGGATCAATCGACACGTTGATATAGAGCCTTTTTGACGGCGAGTCGTTCCAGTCCAACGTGGCCCAGTGTCGCGCAGCCTGGTCAGACCTATGTACCTGCTCTTCTGCGCGTTTTCCAGCCTGGGTACCCGACCCTGCTTTCATCATCGTGACACAAACCTCACAGGAGCGAGAAGAAGCCGACCACATGGAAGTGGACGAGCTCGTCGGATCTACCCGGCAGTTCCGAGGCTGATAGCATCTTCATCGTGCGCTCCGAGTGGGTCCCAAGCCTTTCCCTTTGCACGTTGGTCGAGGCCCGCTGGCGAGGCTGTTCAACTGACACACCAACCCTGCCTTTGAAATCTTGCGTAAACTAGCTCGCGGAACACTGCACTTTCCATCCTGGTTGAGCTGGTCACGACCTGCTTCAGCCCCATTCGTGGGCGCTTTGATGTGCGTCTTGTGTCGGGCTTGGATGAAGCCTGTTCTTTCTCGTACATGAATTGGTTCTCTACGCATCGCTTCTCATCTTCAGTCCATGTGAACATTACTTGGCCATATCCACGAACATGTAGATGTGCAACGGATGGGCACTGCTGCCGCTCTACGAGTCAAGCAGGGCCGTTGCGGCCAACAAAACTTACACTCTGACCTTGCAAGGCGGAACGCCATTGGAACGTGGCGTACAAGTATGTTTTGATCAATGTGACGCAGCCGCTTTTATGACATGTTGAGCTTGCCCTGTCCCAAGCGAAGGGATTTCCACCGGCCAAACTCTCTCACATGGCTGTTTGGTGGCTATAAGTAGCTGGGGAATGAACGAAAGCCTCCGACAATTGTTGTCAAGTAGGCGCCTGACCGACTTGACGGCGTCGACGATTTTCTCTCGTCTCATTTGCCGGCCACTGCTTGTGTTCTGCAGACTCAGTGGCATCAACAAGTCTGCGCAAGAGCTGTGCGACAGCATCCCATGCCCCATCATGACACAACTTAGCAACGTCACCTTCCTCTCCCTCTACCGCAACGCCCTTGTCACGCGTATTGTGCATCACCCTGAGATCAAGGTATGTCGCGTCGTGTACTGCGGCAGACACACCCCGCACCGCTGCGCCCAGCTGTGGTTAGACTGAACGGGCTCTTCTTTGCTTTGACCCGATACATCTTATTTCTTTTTGCATGCGCGCGCCGGCCTTGGGTAGAATGAGGGCATGCAGGCCATTTTGCTCAGCTCGTTGCCGGCTCTGCTGGATGATCCCTTGATGATGAACATGTTCAAGCGCGTGTGGGATACAAGTCTCAAGCTATTGAAAAAGGACAAGAAGCGCGACCCCTTGTACCTCACCTCATGGTTTGAACTTACGTTTACGCAAAATGTATGTTGTTGATACGGGCTTTGCGCAAGTGCGTCGCACTTTACACATAAAAGCCTGACCGCTTGACGTTGGCACTGCTAACCACAAACCTAGATCTGGCCCTTGCTCCACGTCGAGAATGTTCAAGCACCCTATCCAGTCCTGGCCGGGCATGGCATGCAACGCGAGTACGAGCGTAAGCGGGAAGCCTGGTTGCGACACATGCTGCAAAGCGACAACTTGGCTGATATGCTCTGCGACTACTCAAATGGCCACGAAGACACGCACGCACACGAGGCGTTTGACATTGCCGAGGTCTACTATCGTGCCTGCCCCGCCACCTGAGCATGACATGGACCCCTACCTCTAGCATAAACGACGACCACCTATCGTACCTGACCGACTGGGTGTTCTGCTTTCCCAAATGAGAGCATCCTCAGTAGTAACTAGTAATTGATCCACATCCGCCCTTGGCACGGAAAAGATAAAAGGAAACCACTTTACAATACTTGCTTGTTACCAAGTGAAAGACCGTTCAAGGTTTCGTTTTTTTTTTTGTGTGTGTGTGTGCATCGTCGTTGACGCGTGCCTGGTCCCGTCATTTTTGCCGTGTCACGTTGCCGTCGGGTGTTTGTGCCGGGTCGCGATTTGGTGGACAAAGGACGCACGGGTAGGTGGGTGGTCCGTGAACGGATAAATTGCTCTGAATTGTCTGGTGTTGTTGTGACTGCAGGCTGGATCTTTGGACTTTGGTGACAGCGTGGCACGCCACCGCGTCCCTGCCAAGCCTCACGTGTGTGAATGGGGATGCTGTCGCAGGAGGCTCTCTCATGCCGTCGGCCTTATCAGCCAAGCGGAGGGCACCGGCAAACCACAGCGTGGGCCGCAACACGACCGATCAAATCAGTGACCAAGAAGCCTCCACCATGAGCCGCAAGGGTGTAGCCGGGGGCACGCAGGTCAGCGCGCGCGCATGCGGCTCAGATCTCTGCTGCGCGGCACACCTATGCCTTGCCCCCTTCACAGTCGTCACTTTGATATCGACATCTCTCCCCGGGTCTTCCCTGTGCCTCCTTGCATGGTATTAGGTTTTCCCCCTGCGTGTTCTTGGTCTAGCTGCAGGTGCCATCCTGTTGATTTGGCTCCTCGCTTCATCACCCAGCCCTAGCCTCAGCTCGGTCTACTATGGTGACTTTTACGGCATCATGATCGATGCAGGCTCCACGGGTAAGATCCCGCGCTTTCCCCTGCTTCAACTTTCCGCCGAGCCTGCTGGACTTCTCACATTCGAAACCCTGCTGCATTGTGGCCATGGCTGAACGCAGGCTCGCGCATCCACGTGTATCACTTCAAGTCACTCGACGCTGAAAATGACGCTATGGAGCTTCAGTCTGAGGTGTTTCAATCCATCAAGCCCGGCTTGAGCTCCTATGCTGACGATCCCCGCGCTGGTGCTGAAAGCCTCATGCCTTTGCTCGACATTGCCATGTCGACGGTGCCTGAAAACAAGCGTGCCATTACGCCCATCAACCTCAAGGCCACGGCAGGCCTGCGGCTTCTGCCACAGGAGAAGGCGCAGGCGCTTTTGACGGAGGTGGAGTCCCTCATCAAGAGCTATCCCTTCCTCTTTGACCCCGAAGATGCTGTCGAGATTATGGAAGGTCTGAATGAGGGCAAGTTTGCTTGGGTCACCGTCAACTATCTTCTCAACACCATCGGCCAGCCCTCCCACCGCCAGTGCGTGGTTCTGGATCTGGGTGGTGGATCCACTCAAATTGCCATGGCCGTGGCCCACCGTGACAACAAGCTCATCTCCACCAACATCATGGGCACTGAACTTTCCATGTACATTTACAGTCATTTGGGTCTCGGTCTCATGGCCGGCCGTGGTGCCATGCTTGGCTTTGGCATCCCCGCCGGTGATGCTCGCCTCGATGGCGCGCAAAAGATCTGGTCGCCTTGCGTCACCACACCCGTGCTTTACTCTTACGATGGCAAGACGTACAAGGCCGAGGCTTCCAAGACTGTTGGTGCCGCGGCCTGCCGCCAGCACGCTCGCCGTGTTTTGATCAGCCCCGGCGGCTCCTTTGCCAGTGCCCCCGCTCAGCCTCAGATTGAGAACAACCAGCCCATCTTTGCAATGTCTTATTATTTTGATCGGGCCGTCGATACCGGTACGTTCAACCCAGGAATCCCATTTATTGCTTCGTTTGATGGTCGGCTTTTTGCCTCACGACCTCGCTCGATCTTGTCCCAGGCCTGATTGCATCCGATGCTGAGCGCGGTCTGCTGACGCCGGCCGACTACGAGCGCATGGCCAACGCGGCTTGTGGTGAAACTGCTGAACGAATCATGGCGCGCTTCCCCGCGGTGGATGCTAAGAACGCCCCTTTCTTGTGTATGGACCTCAACTTTATCGTTGCCTTGCTTGAGGATGGCTTTGGCATCAAGTCCAACGCCAAGCTTACCCTAGCCCAGAAGCTACCTTTCCGTGGTGAGGCCATTGAGACACAGTGGCCCTTGGGAGCTTCGCTCGAAGAGCTTTCTGAGGAGCTCGAGCGTCTGGGTTATTAGAAGCGCCTCGCCGGAACTAAGCATCTTGTCGAGTATCTGTCCAGTGTGAATTGATCATCGATTGAGTTTGATGACACAGAGAAGAAGTAGCAGCATCGTGGACGAAAACGACAAGTGACAGCGAGGCACCTCGTACACACACGCGACGGGAAACATAAGCCCACGACCAAGCGACGCATACACAAAAGTTGAAAGAGAGCCAACCAGGGCCAAAAGGCGCGCGTGGCGCGTCGAATCGTTTGCAACATCAATACGAACAAAACGGACTGTCGTGACGAAGGGAGGCGCAAGAAACCAGCGGCATTGGGATCAGGTCCTTCCACTCATCGAAAAATAAATAGGTCGCTTTAAAGAAGACGAGTGCCCAAGAGAGTGGCAAACAAGGTCAGAGCCAGAGCCGGGGCCGTCAGAGCACCGGCACCATTCTCATCATCATCGTCGCCGCCGTCGACATCATCATCCAGCTCCTCAATGTCATCGCCGTCGGCCACCAGCTGAACTGAAGACATGCTCACGGAGCGGCCAGTGACAGTGCCGTTGCCGGCCGAACCGTTGGCATCGTTGTAGGTGACAAAGGAGAACGACTGCTGCATTTCGAAGGTCGCTGGAGCCACCATACCCGTGTACTCAATCTCGACCTCGATCGAACCCTCGACAGAGCCTGAGCCGCTTGGTGTGCTCCACTCAATGGTAAAGTCGCCATCCTCCAGGTCTGTGATACCGGCAGCAATCAGCAAAGTGCGACCAAAAGCCGTAATCTGCGCCTCGGTAAAGGTTGAAAAGTCTAAGCAAACATAGGCAGGCAAACACCCGTGAGGTTTACATCAAATCGCTGCTGTAGGACGTGCAACAAAAGAGGCGGGAGGGGCCTGGAAGCAAGCGGGCTCAGAACGTACTCTCAGGCACGGCAAAGACGAGCTCGATCTCAAACTCGCTGAGAGTTTCGCAAACGAAATCTGTCATATTCTCCATGGCCGCGCGAATTTGATTGGTGGCCTCGGCAGGCACACAACCCTCTGTTGCGGCAATTTTCTCAGTGGCGCACTCGACGTAGTCAAAGACCAGAGGGCAGGCGCATACAGCAGCTTCAGTGGACAGGTCGCCAAAGGTGGCATTGCATGGCTCGACAGCCTGCACAAAGTCACGAACGCAGCTGTCGAGCTCGCGGGCCAGGTCGAGGGAGAGGGCAACGTTGCAAGTTTCGGAAGCCAGCTCAACCGACATGCTAGTCAGGTTCACCGCAAATTCGTAGCTAGACGAGCTGTTGGCATTGTCCACGTAGGCAACGGCGCCATAGGTGCCTTGCAGCTCCAAGGTGGCAGGTGGGGCCTCTCCGGCATAGAAAATGGTCATGTTGACGGCACCGCTGGCCTCAAGCATTGTTTCCCACTGCAAGGGCACGCACAAACACATGCAGCGTGAGATACAAAGTCCTCAATGCAAACTCGTTTCCTCTGCTGCTCCCAAATGTACTCAGGCGGTAGCACGACAAACCTCGACGAAAAAGGCGGCATCAACAACAACCTCGATGCCAGCCTGGCTGAGAAGACGACGGGCAAAGGCCTCAACCTGGGCAGTGGAAAAGGTCGAAAAGTTGCTGGGCACCTCGACGGTCAAGGTAATGGCGTAGTCCGAAAGTGCATCACAGGTCCTGTCAGAGTAGTTGGCGTAGAGCTCGCGGATTTCATTGGCAATGGGGGAGGACATGCAGCCGTCCACGGTAGCCAGGCTTTCCTTGGCGCACTCCATGTAATCAAAGGCCGCGGGGCAGAAACAAACTCGGTCATTCTCGCCATCGCAGTTCTCGATCGCATCGTAGAAATCACGGCTGCAGTTGCGCAGGTCATCGTAGGCACTCAGGGTCAGAGCCAGGGAGCATCCAGGTGTGTCAATGGCAAAGGACAGGGAAGGCAGCTCGATGGACGCATCGAAAAAGGAAACGGTGCCGTTCACATCCATGTAGAAGACTTGTTCGTAGTTGGTCTGAATCTCGAGGGCGGCCGGAGGCACGAGGCCGGCGTACTGGATGGTCAAATCAATGTCACTGCTGAAGGAGGTGTTGACCGAGTACTGTCGAAAGCGCAATCCGAGTCAACATGAGCTGGCGTGCATTGTGGGGTGCAGGGTAAGGGAGAAAGGGAGAAGGGAGCACCACGATGGGCATACACGGATGAGGTAGGCTACGTACGCTGACAACAAAGTCCACGTCGCGAAGACCGGTGACACCACCCTGCTCCAGGATGCGGCGGGCCATAGCGCGCAGTTGGGCACGGGAGAACATGGAGAAGTCTGACAGACAGTTGGATGTGAGGATGTCCGATCCCCTTGGCAAGCAAGCTTTAGGTTGCTGTGATAACAAAACTTACTAGTGGGGACGGAGATGGTGATTTCGAGCTCAAAGTTGGCCAATTCCTCACACAGGCCCTCAGAGTAATCAGTCAGCATATCACGGATCATGTTGGTGCCGTTTGTGGCCAAGCAGCCGTCGGTGCTGATGAATCGGTTGGCGGTGCACTGTGGACGTAACAACAAAACAAAGAAGGCAAAGTCAGTCCTCAGGCATTAGAGTACAACGACCAGCAGCGGGCGATGTGACAGACCTCAAGGTAATTGTGAAGGACAGGGCAAATGCAAGTCTAGGCATGGGTTCAGCGATTGAAAAGGATTACACAAGAAAACGCAATGAGATTAAAGTTAATGGCCGGCATGCACAAAACATCGATTCGATGCGTCAAGAGAGAAACGCACCGAGTCGGAGCTTTCGGAGCAGGCAGCCACATCATTGGAGAAAGCGGTGAGACAGGGCTGAATGTTGTCAAACAGATCCAGCGAGAGGGTAATGTCGCAGGCGGTCGTTCCTAGAATGCGGGTCCATCAGTTAGAAGGTATGCCACCAGCGAGCCGAGTATTGCATCGGTTGACTCGGGCAGCAGCAACCGGTTCGTACCAAGAACGAGGAGTGCCAGCAGGAGGCCGGTTGAGGCGGCCTTCATGATGTCGGTGCTTGTGTAAGAGCACGAAGAGGGTCTAAGCAAGTGATCGCTGTTCGCGGGCCGCTGGTTGGGTCGCTGAGGTGGTCGCTGGTGAGGCTAGCTTTGGAGAGGCTGTGCTGTCGTTGTAAAATGCCAGTCAACAGCCACGGAGCTGCACTTGTACGGTGCCCCCAAGCATGCATTCGAAACGGCACACTAACCCTTGCTCTCTACCAGGCACTGTGGGCATGCCATGTTACTTCGGCTCGAGCCTACTTGATAGTGTAGGTCACAAATCATGTTTCGCGAGGAGCGGGCACGACCGCAAGAGCGATCACGCATGACTCGATGCACGTCAGTCATGGGCAAGATAGCCTTCTTGCAAGCATCTGCAAAGTAGGCGGAAAAGGTCTGACAACACAACATTGATTTCACACAATTGTCAGCATTTTTGTGTCAGCATTTTTGTTTCAAAAAAAGAAGGAGTGTGTCCTCCTTGCCACGCATTTGAAAGATGGGTTTCAAAGCAGACATAAGCTCGCAGCGCAACACCTACGTACACACCTACATATGGACCACTCATACCGCTCGTATTGCTCTTCCCGTCATTGGCCATGCTGGCCTTGATCACCCAGGTCATGTTGCACTGCCACTCCTTCAACGAGAAGCCCATCCAAAGCCCCTGCCGATGCATGTTCTCGTTCTTACTTCGATGAATGTCTCTTGCTCATTCACATACGCAGGCAAGAGCTTGCACGATGGCGTCGAGATGGGGTGTTGGAACAAAAGCCGCATGCGAAAGTAACCAGCCAAGCACCTAGCCGGGGACAGAGGACAGATCGCGGGCCCAATCTGAAACGTTTGAAAAGGGTGTGTATGCATGACCAATTTCTGGCTACTCTTGCCCTGTGGCTTGGCACTCGGGCTATTTCAAGATGCTGCACATGGTATTGCAAAGCATTAGCTAAGAATGGCCTGCCTTGATCAACCTGTGCTGAATGCATGGCTCCATGACCATCGTGAGCAAGTGCGAGTCTGTGTGCTCAAGGCCCAATCAGGTGACTTTTGGTTATCGGCTCTCGGATCAATTGAAACATCAAACGCAGGGGAGTGCCGCACAAAATGCGTTGCCAACGTGAGCCAGATCAGGCAACGGCGAACAGACAATTGCTTCACGCAAGAACCAGCGTTGAGCACCCACACAAAAGGGCGACGCTTGGCGCCTACTCGGACGCTGTCGGGGGATTGCCACTGCCACTACGGGGTGCAGGAGTGGAAGCAACGGCAGAATCGGGGCCCGTCGCCCGTGGACCACTTGATAGGCGATGTGTGGTTTCCACCGTTGTCTGAAGGCTGCGACGCAGCGTGGTGGTCTTGAGAACACTGCGCGCACCAGCGCCGGGGGTGCCGGCCAAGAAGCTAGTGGTCGTCGTCGTAGTTGTGGCTCGCATCGGATCAACTAGTTCTACGTTTCGCCAGCAAGCACATGCACAAATTCGTTCAACCTGGCCATGTACTATACAAACGAGCAAACAAGCCCTAGTCCAGCCAAGGCTTGGTCAAAAGCATAAAAACGAAGCTCCTGTCAGGATGTACCTTGCTCCACGATGGAGGCCCAATCAGGAAGAGTGCCGTCTTTCTGATACTTGGATGGACTTAAAAAGTACTTTTCATTTCCCGGAAGGGCGGCAAACACGGCCGCGGCTGTCCAGAAGACACAATTGCTTTGAACCGGCACATCGTGAATGGCAAAGGCCCGCGCTACACCAAGAGAAGAGATGGGAACCCAGTGACGTGGAGACGAAGCAAATGCCAGACAAGAGCAGTAACAAGGGCTTGCAGCAATGCGGGTGTACCTTCATCGCTGGGAGCAGGCTCACACGCGGCCTCACTCATAACCAGAGTGGTCTTGCCGGATATAATCTTGCCCTGACAATGCAAATGCGTTTCGGCCCGGGTCAATTCGCGACGACACCACGACGGCCTGACTCCTTCCGATCCCAGACCTTTCTGACTGCTTCCGACCCCAGACCTTTCTGACTGAAACTGACAACCACGCCTGTCCTTCAACTCGCTCTCCTTTCCCCTTCCAAGCTAGCAGCAAAGCCTCGGTACCTTCATGCCATCGGTCTTGACTGGTTCCAGTGTTTCCACTGTCAGCACCAATGACTCGGGACTGGGTTGCTCGACCATGGCGTCGCGCCAGAGAGCCGTTGAGAGTTCCTCGGCCAGCTCCATCCTGAGTCCGCAGACGACAAAGGTGAGCAAACGGCCACTTGACGATAGATATCCTCTGAGGACGAGGTCATATCGGCTTTGGCTCTTGAAGTTCAATGCAAGCTGCGTACTTGATCTTCTCTACCGTACTGGCCATGGTGTAAAGCGGGCTGGTGTATTGCATGTCAAAAGCGAGGCGAACGCGAAAGCGCTGTGGCCCCTTCTCGACATGATCATTTGCTGACTCGGAAATGGAGCGCAAAGTGTGTGGTAATGACTGCAGCAGGCGATATCGCAAGCCTCGCAGGTGGGCGTGGCCACCCACTACCACCAGGTTCTTGGCAAGCTCTAAAAAAAAAAAATTACACAAATCAAAACTGAGACAATGGATGGCGGCCCACGCACAGAAGTTTGCCATGTATTGTTGACTCGTGCTTTTGCTGTTTTGTCGTTTTTTTCCCAGGCAACAGCGCTTGTGTTGTTTGTGCAGGTGAAGGAACATGAAGACTAACCACGGCGGACATCGACGGGACACGCCTGGAGGGCTGTGAGGATGCCCGTGACGAGGCCGTCGCCAAACTCGTCGTCTTCAAACAAAACGTCAGCCACATTCGTGCGGATGGCTTCATTGAGGCGGATGATTGTGCCGTCGGCCAGTCGATATGATACTTCGGGTACAGCACTGCCGTCAGCCGGGCCGCAGGCAAAGCAGGCTCGTGCCTAAAGGCAATTAAAGCAGGTCAAGCAAGGGCCACCATTGTTCCGAAGCCCCGAGGCGGGCGTGAGGCCGGGCTTTGTAACTCAAAAGGTTTGTCAGCAAGCCGTACCAGAATGTCTTCGAGCTGATCGGGAGTCAAGCTCTGAGCAAGTTCGGGCATGGTTGAGGGGGCGGTGCTTGACGCTCGCTCGATTGTGGCGTGCTGGGACAATAGATGCCTCAGGTAGGTCTGGAGATCGGCACCGCCGGACAGGCTCACAACGACACCACGCCGCACGAGCTGGCCGGTGTAAATTGGATATATCCGCGAATCAGTGTGCCCCACATCCACGATCAAGGCTGCCTCCACGGGCCACAGATAGCCAAAGGCATCAAAGTTGGGTACGAAGCATACTCCTTCGCACTGCGTGGGTCAGAGGAAAAATAGCAGCATTGCATGAACAGGGTGCAACGGCCAGGCTCGGAAGACATGAGACACATTCAAGCACAAACCTTGTAGTATGAGAGCAGGGCGTCGGCAATTGCACGGCGAAATGGCAAGGGGAGATGCTGGTCTTCGACCACGACAACCCGTCGATCGACTGGGCGCACCAAAAGAGTGTCATAGAAGATCTAAATGAAGCAGCCGCCACCAGGATATGGCAACGGTAAGTCATGATCATAGGTCCAAGGCAGCCTCAAGCAGTGAAAAGGCCCGGGCAGGTGTGGGGTGTGGCGAGGGCAGACCTTAAAAAGGGCATCAATAATCAAATCAAGGTACTCTTGCTGACTCGGAGCTTTTGACTCCGCTTCATCAGCTTCACCGGCTTCAACTGCACTGGGAGCTGACCAGATGCTTTGCAACAGATCCACGGGTTCATTGCGAAGATCAAGAGCGATAGGGATCATGGCCCGTGGGAGGTGCTCGCCGGCAAAGCCCGCCCGGATCCAGCGCGAGCCGAATTCGAGTACCACGGCGGGCCGCTCGCTGGCCACTGAGGTACCCCCACTGCCTTTGGGCAGGCCCAGTCCGACGGAGGACTTGCGTGCCCCCGTGCGGCCCAAATCGACTCGCCGGGCCTCGGGTCCAGGGGATGAGGCCGCACTGGCACGAGTGGCGATCCCCGCCAGATCACTGGCCGAGGAAGACGACGACATTTCAAATCGCTCCTATTTTGATGTATGAAAAAGCCTCTCCTCTTTGTGTAACCTCAGCACGCCCACGAGCAGCGAGCCGGTGATGGCTCGTCAAAGGTCCGTTCTTCTCTCTCTCCTTCTCTCTCTTTCTCGAACAACCTCTCTTTCTCTCCTTGTCTCTGCCCTACGCTTCCCCCGAGGAAGGAAGGGCGAGCGAGCGAGCGAAGGAGCGAGCGAGGCGGACGATCTACCGTTGTTTTGCGCTCTGACGCTTGGTAGCAATGAATATGCTGACATCCCTCGCCGCGACGACTTTTCAAGGTATCTACCCCCTCTGTGATGGTCGCTAAGCGAGAACGTTGCGTTGAAGGCGCTCTTGCTTGATCGGCTGCTGCAGTTTCTGTTGCCCTCGCGTCGTGAGGCGGGGTCGCTGCTTGCCTTCTGCTGGCCTGTTCATGCCGGGTGCGCTTTGCAGCCCTCAGTCAGCGTGAGCCGCCACGACCTCTTGATACGCCGGGG